AACGTTTACACAGGCTAAAGTAAGCATGTCAACTATACGAAAAAGGGACGTTGTTATCTGATCATGAAAATTAAGCTGAAAAATGTATTGTATTTACTCTAAACACTGGAGAACAGCATATAACACTGAGATAACAATTAAATAGTTCATAATAACAGAGACAGTTACAATATTAATTTACTAAAACACGAACCACTATGTTCCTAAATAGGCTGCCGAGTAACACTTACTGTATCTTTTCAGCCACACCCCAGTGCCAGGCACCCCTAGAAAAACTATTGATAATAACAATGACATCCTCAGGAAAAGAAAACAGCTTCTCCAAGAACAGACGAATACACTTGCAACAAAAGGTCATGTGCATCTTTGCAGGAACAAAATCACTGCAGTAACAGACCTGCCAAGATGAAAACATGGCTGTCTGAAATCTAATTACATTTTCCATGGTATTATGAATCATTCAACCAAAACCTGGTTAATGGAATCACAGCTTTAGAATAAACCTCTTGGATTTGTTTTAGTCCTTTTTACACCTGTAGTCAATATCATTGTGATTATTATTCTTAGACTGTAAAACGTTTAATCCCATTGCCATCATTCAGGGCAGAATGGTGGCACAGTGGTTAGCAGTGCTGTCTCATAGCACTGGGCCCTGGGTTCTGCTCCTGGGTGCTATCCGCATGGAGTCTCTCTGTCCTCCGTCTTCGCATGGGTTCCCCCCACAGTGCAAAACCATATTGGTAGATTAACTGGCTACTGGGAGAAGCCTGGGTGTAAGCATGGCTGTATTTGTGCCTGCCATGCGATGGACTGGCGCCCCTGTCTTGTTCCTGTTGCTTGCTGGGATAGGCCCCGGCTCCTGTGCGGCCCTGTATCAGATAAAGCAGCTCGAAAAGGGATGAATGCTGTCATACACAGCCACACAATGATTCTGAAGTGACGGCGTGTGTGTCCTTACTATTACGTCCCTATTATAAAATCACACAATATTAAAATATAAGATAGGACCTTTCCAGTCTTGTACCTCTTCAAATCAAACTGGGAAATGATTGGAATCCACTTTTCTTGCATCCCTCCTAGTTTTTTATCTGTTCAAAAAGGAAAGGGGCTGCTCTGAAATAGATGTAATTGGGGACAACATCATGTCGTGTGCTTCTAAGGGAAAACATGGGACTAGCTGATCACGTTTTTAAGGAAAATGGTTAGCAGACCTGATCGGGATTCTCTTCCTCCACTAACCCCATCACACAAGCTAAACCATTTTAAACTTTCACACAACAATGCACCTGCAATTCTACATCACGATTGCTCCACTGCTCTGTCACTGGTATACTAATAGTGTACCAAGCATCACCGTAAACATGTTTAGGGCTTGGGAAAAATGTTCAAACAGAAACCCAGTCTTCCATAAATATCTCCATGACAACCAAGTCACAAGAGTTTAAATAGTGACAAGAATTCCTCAAGTCACATTTTGTCTCCATTATCTGTAACAGTATCAAATCCAAACCAAGAGCAAGTCAGTAAAACTTAATTTAATAAAAAGAGGTGAGAAAATGAAGACTGTTGATCTCCTACAGAGTCTAACAGGTCTATGAAACAGACAAAGCCACTGACTGTTGCTTGGCAAAGAAGACACATGTACTGTATGTGACTGAAGTGTTTTTTGATCAAACTGATGTGACTCCAGATTATTTTTTCTTATGAGCTCGTATTTATTGTTTTTTTTTTCTGTACCTGTTGTCTGGTCTTGTTCCGTTTCAAAACTTCAGCAAACGTTTGTTTTTAAAAAAAGGATTTTATGGAAAGGTTCTTGTCAGCAGGAGACTTTTCAATTCAGACCAATATTGACTCTGCTCATCTGGTACAAATCCTTTTTCATGTGCTGTGTCAAGTTACCCCATCTTCTCCAAAATGTGGTGTTCACTGAACCAAAGGCTTGTAAAAGATTTAAATAATATGCAACAGCATCTGTCCCAAAAGCTACAATCCTCAATTACATTATTAAAAGAGACCAGCAAAAGGCTTCACCCCGATTCCTGCTCTGGTTTGCATTGCATTTTTGGAATCTTTTTTTCCAGAATATTGAAACATATTAGGTGTGCATGTGAAAACTGGGATTATAAAGATTTTTATACATGCATTGAGTAAAAGGTAAAATCCTGGATGGGTGCAATATCAAATGACAAACAGAACACTATTAAACATAAGATATAACTGTACCCTTACAGGCTTATAACAGCTGAAGAAATTAAGTGTAATAAAGGTGTATAAAAACATTGTATTGTCTTTCTGTTGAAAAAAAATTCAGTACCTTGGACAGCTCAAAAGTAAAATTTTGACAGCCATTTATTTATAATTTATCAATTTATCAGAGCCTTTCGTGTTAAAATATAAAAACATAAGCTATATTAGCATTAACCAGGAGGTGTAGCCTGTATCGTTGATCAAGACTTCTGTTTTACTTCCATATAAAACAATAGCAAATACTATAAAACTTAGGCCACATACACAGTAATTTATTTCAAATTAATGACATCTGGAGGTCAGAGGAAATAAGACTAGACTTAGTAATGTAAATGGTAAATGGATATACTTCCATCTGTAAAGTCAAGAGGGATGAAAACATATAAGGAGTTGACCAATCAGTGGTACGAGCAGTTTCAGCCCATTTCTATAAGGAGTTACAAAGCTTTATGGTACCAGCATACTTATCAATGCTATACCCTCTATTGGATTCTATTAACAAGCCTCCTGAATAGTCACATATCCAAGGCAAGCCTGTTGATCTCTTGTAATATGGGTGCTGTAATTACCACTGGAGTCACGTGGGGTTATCTCAGCATGATTGCACAAGTATTTTAGTTGCATTTTCTGGATCATTGTCATGATGGAAAAAAATGAATCCCTTCCACAATGCTTCTTTGAGCATTTAGTTTGTCGACATGCCTTGACTTTTCTCAGGCTCTCAGAGGTCAAGTGGAAATAGTCTCCAATATTTCACATTTTAATTAATCATTGGTTATTAAGATTAAGACATGCCAACCAGCCTCGTTGGATCAGTATGAGGAAAGAAACTGACATTAGCATCAGCTGCTGTCACAGGTGACAGCTGTTGTCTTGGTTTCTACATTTTCTGTAAACACTGTGACTGGAAAGGCTCTGTGCTATTCCCACTTACTTTCATCTCAAAGTTTGCATAAGAATTTGTGCAGGTGCCTCCAGTGAATCTGCAACTGGACAACTGGAAGTTCCAGTTCCAGGTAGAGCACTCAGATACTTGTTGCATCCTTAAGCAAGGTGTTTCACCCAGACCGCTCCAGTAACACATCCCACTGTATAAACGGCAGTCACTGACTCATCTGGTTAGAGATTTATGTAACGCCATTTAAGTCAGTTCAATTTTTGCACAGCCATTAGGCTAACTCATAATACATCCATTTTAAATGGATTTGTTTTATGACTGTATTTTAGTTGTTTGTATGTTTGTATTTTATTATTGAATCAGTGGGTATGTGTTGCAAATTAATGTAAAAAGACAACATTTAAAACAAGAATTTAGAATTATTTTTATTTGTTTTAAAACCAGCCTTTAATAGTATTAAATGCATATAATTATGAAGGGACCTTAAGTGCGACATATTTGTTGATCTTGCTTTACCACAACAAAAGTTCGCAATATTTTAATACTAATTATATTCGAAAATATGTGTGTATATTATATATATAGATATGTTTGTGAAAGTTTTTAAAACAAGGGCGATCATTACTGTCAAAGATGTATTCATAAACTGAAACGACGCATTGAGTCTATTCAGAATGTCCACAATGGATGTAAAAAAATCAATTGAAATATAAAATAAAAAACAATTTAACTGCGTCCGGAGTGCGTTTGGGATTAACTAAATAATACATTTGCCAAGATTTAAAGTGTGTAGGCTTTAGGGATAGCAATCCATTGATATTATTATCGTCTTGCTTGTCAAGATCATACATGTAAAGTGCTGTTAGTTGCTCATATTCAGATACCTTGCAGAGCTCAACATCAAGAGCTATGAGATAATGCGGATTTAAACCTGAACCGTCCCTCCATCCAGGCGTTTACAGTATACAACTCTCACCACAATCCGTTTTAATCGTTTCCAGGGATGTTTTTTTTTCTTCCATATTGTACCGGTTAGTCTTTAAGAAAGGATTAGCCACCCGGCCTGCCAACACGGCTGAACACAAAACCGCAACAGAAACAATATTTTGCTTTTTTTTGGCATTTTTTGTAAATAAACCAAGACGAACAAATCAAGACGCCCATTTAAAGAAAAAAAAAACAGCTGACTGGCTGCGGTTTTGTGAAAATAAATAATTTATTGAAAAATAATCCGGCCGCTGCGTGGTGTCGGCTTTTCCCTGACCTGTAACCGGGGCGCCTACAGTATATGGGGTAAAACGGTGACCTGCCCGAAACTGCACAATCATTGGAATTGAACGCACATTGCTTCTGTCCAGAAAACAGACCCGACCTATTTTACTAACGAGCGAGTAATGTAGATACTAACTCACGCATACGCAGGTGCTTTGGACCTGTTATTGTTTATTGCGTTTTAAATAAAAAGCACGTTTTGTTTCCACTCCGGGGCTGAAGCAGTGAATTGGTACCTCAATGGCATTTGATTCAGCAGAACCCTAACGGAGGGGTACGCTTGACAAGAGGGGAAATTTACAACCTATGTCATGTGATAGGCCATCCTCACCTAATCGTTTATCGTTAACGTAAAGGTGCAGGGAATTTTATAATATTTAACTTGTAAAATAAGGGGAAAAAACATTTTTAAACGGTGCATAAGAGATTCTTTTCATTGCAAAGCATCAATCTGCAATCATCTGCGTAACGGATTCAGTTACGTCATTTTCTAGGATAAATGAATACAGTTATTTTTGTAGGTATCATAAACAAAATATATCGTTAATAATTATAAAAAAAGAATACCGATGATGATACTCACCTGTTCCCCGAGGTCGATGGCTATATTTGTAATTGCCAGAGGCACCAGAAAGCGGATGAGAGGCCAGTAAGGTGTAAGTGCTGGGATGTTCACCATAATATCGGTGGAATGACAGCACCACGAACATCTGCTGCTGGGAACGGGAAAAAATAACAAATAACAACAACACCAATGTTATCGGCGTTTTCTAGCAGAAATCCAAAAAGATGAGGTCCGTCCCTACCCTCCTACACAACAACAGCATCAAAAACAATGATCTACCGCAGGGAAAAAGAGGAGGGTCACCAGAATTTTCTGCTGACAGCTTCTCCATTGTTCATCAGTGGGGAAAAAATAAATAAATGAATGAAATCAGGCTGGGAAAACAACAGTATTTAGCCTCAAAGTCTTTCTTCTAAAAGAGAGTGAGAGAGATGCAATGATCAGGACAGCTGACAGCAATTTCAGCCTCAGCTTTATTCCGCAGCAAGCGGCTCCATGACTACTTTAATCATCTCTCTGTACAACACGTGGGGGTCGGCAAATTCAAACTCCTCCTCTCCTGGACGTCAGTGCTGCGCACAGAGAAGAACACCACCCACACAGCGCCAAAGGAGAAGAGAAAGCGAAGAGCAATTGTCACAGACAAGCGTCCTATGTCCGTCTTATTTTTCCAAAAGGTTTCGTGTGGTTTTCCAGTAGCATTACCCGCAGTACTTAACTGTTCATGCTGTGCCGAAAAACATGTTTGCAGGTTCTGTTTTTCACCATCCTGTTGTGCAGAAACGGAATAGGTACTCATGGCACCTGACCGGCCGGCTTCCTTCAACTTCAAACTCTAGGAAATATTTTTCAGGCTTTCTCGTCATATGATTGACGGTAGTGAAATGTCAGTGTCATAAGCACTCGTTGCAGTACCCGTTATGGAGTTAAGGGTTTCGTTTCCTTTCTCTTACGTAAAAAATACATTTATTTTTTTAGTTTGACTGACAAACGCTCGGTCAGTGTTGGTGTCGCTCATGTGTAGCCCCAATAGAGGTGTCTAGGGGATATAAATCTTACACATATTATTTCATCCATCCCGAGGACTAACGTACAGTACATTGTTCTTTGTAAATTGGTAAATTGGTGTTGTCGATTCTAAATTCATTTGAAATGGCAATTTCGTGCTTATGATTTCTCGTTCATCTTTGCTCAAATCCTTCCCACTCAGTATCAAGATGGTTACATGTTCTAAATATTTTTTTTTCAAAATGCAAATACAAAAGGGAACAACACAATCTTGAAGCATCAACAAATGATAACACAAAGATGTGTTTGTTTTACCGTAACGAGCAACGAGCACTAATCCTCATTTTAGCTCTGGGGTTGAATGGATGGTGATTGGAGAGGCGTGTTTCCGTGTATATAACTATACAGAATTCTGTATCAGAATGTAGAAATATACAAGGTTGCACGGATTCTTTAAATAAAATGAGGTAGTTGATTAAGATATTTAAAACTTTTTGGAGCAGTGGTGATTAAGTCTTTTAAGCAGTGATTAAGTAATTTAAGTGGATATTTTGGGTGTTGTGTGAGTAATAAGGTATAAAACAGCATTGTGTAGCTGAAGAACTGAAATTGAAAGAGTCTGAATTGCACGGATAGACTGTATTTTATACCACATGCACAAGTCTGGTCGGAGACACGCATACTTGTCTTAAAGTGATACTGTATTCAGATATTTCCAAGGCAGACATATTCTGTGCAGGAGGTTTTCTATAAAATTACAAGGTTGGTCATGACACATTGAAATAAAAGTAAGGAAACACACCTTTTTGGTTCTGTAGCTAAATTGACAGATGTTATAAACAGCGTAGGCATTCCTGGTTCAAGTCCTGATGATGTAATTTCCTGTGTTTGGCTCAAAACTCCTGGAAATTGTGCAAGGTTTCCAGATGTTTTTGACGATAGGATAAGGATCAGCCATCAGTCTGCCGCACAACATTCTTGTCACAGGCTGGGCACTGCAGAACCAGACATGATAAGTGGCAGCAAAGTTTGTTCTCTAGATGTTTTTCCCAGGATAACAGTTTCTTTAACCAAGTTCTGTATTGAGATGTCTGGTCTACCTCTTTGCAATGTCATGAGAATGTGACCATGAAGTATTTGGTATCAGGTGATGACTTGCTGAATTGAACATGGGAATTTCCGTTTGTCTGCAACTAAGCAAATGAATAATCGTTTCTGACAGACAAAGACCATTAATACATAGCGCCTGGGGTTAGGGAGGGAAGCTCACTGACTTGAATATATTCCATCGCTCTGGTCAATTTTGCTTAGCAGGTAGCCAACAGGGATTTGTGCAACATTCTCAGAAGGTTTCCATCAATGACAGGGTTGACTAACTGGAAAACATTTGCTGATGAGACCCACATTAAAAACTGTGAACAGGTCACGGTGGTGCAGTTGCTCTTTTGACTTTATTGCTGTTCTGAGATCAACAGGTTTGGCTGGAAAAAAAAACACACACACAAGGCTGTGCAAAAGATACATTTGCAAAAGTATTTGTGCATTTGGCTGTTACTAATATAAAGGGTGAAAGGTGTTTACCTCATTAAAAACCTAAAATTTCCTTTACCAGTGAACAGTATGCAAAAGAGTGACCATTTTGTAGATTGTAAATTGATTGGAGATTCTATATAAATACAAATTTGTGAAGCTTAGGAGGAATTGTATTGAACTTACTGCATGGTTTTCTGTCCAAAACCAACCAACCAGAATAACTACAGTATCTCATCTCACCTCGTTTTCTACCTGCTTACTCCTGGTGAGTATCATGGTGGTAGCAGGCTGAGCTGGACAGACCAGACCTTCCTTTCCCCAACAACAGCCTCTAGCTCCTCCTTTCCTGTCCTGAGAGACTCCCAGGCCAGCTGAGAGACATAATCCATCCAGCGCGTTCTGGGTCTGTGGGAGGGGCCTCCAGCCAAAGGTGTTGTGAGGACATCCTCACTAGATGACAGAACCACCTCAACTGGTTCCTCTGGATCACGAGATCCAGAGGAGAAGTGTCTCTACTCTATAGTCCTCCTGGACTGCCTAGCTCCTCAGAATAATTAAGTCTTTGATATTTCAGGGGTGAACACTCTAACTGGGGTGATATAAATAGTGGAGTACCGGAGCATTCTGTAACAGTACCACTGTTCTTCTCAACTTACATGAATGATCTAGATTCTGGTATAGCAAGTGGAATAGTCAAGTTTGCAGATGACAGCATAACAGGAGGATTGACATACACTACAGAAGAAGCAGATTAAAAATCTTCTTAAAAATTGATGATTTCAAATATTTTAAAAAGTTAAAAAATTGAAATTTAAGAATGGACAAACAACTGATGGTGATGGTGTTGAATGTTGACGAGCAAGGTTGTGCCTGCAGGTAGCAAAAAATGAATTAGAAATACAGTACAATATGGAAACACTAAGGTTAAAGTTTTTATTAAAAATACCTAGGTGTTTATATTAACACATCATTTACATCATCTAGACAATATACAGAAAAAATAAAATGCAATCAAAGGTCAGACAATAGAGAATGTGAATCAGGGAGTACAATTTAAGTGTCTTGTTAAAGTTGTATAATGTACTAGTAAGGCATCAGGATAGTGTGGGCATTTTTGTTCACTACATTATAGAAAATATATTAATGTTCTAGACTCTGCCCAGATAATACAGTAGCAACTAGATTTGTTCTGGAGTTTAAGGAAATCTCCTTCACCGACAGTCTGAAAGAACTGAACTTTTTAATCTTGAACAAGTATTCAAAATCCACAAAAACAACGGGCTTCTTCAGAATGAACAGTGAAACATGTACCAAAGGACACAAGTGAAAACATTGTGGAAGTGCACTTACAGCTGAGAACAAGATGTGTTTCTTTACACAAAAGGTTGCGAGGGTGTGAACCAAGCTTTTCAGTTACTGTATGTTGTTAAAGATGAAACCCTGATTTTGTTTTAAGAAAAGACTGGAAGAAGTTCTCAGTCAATTAACTTCTAAATACCAGACAGGCTAGATGTCCTGAACGGCTTCTATTTGTAACCATTCTTAACAACTACTGCCTATTAGAGAAATTGCTATAATAAGAAATATCAGCTCTGGTCATTCTGTAATGTACTGCAGGTTGGTTAAAATAAGGCCTATGTATAACTGATCAACAATGTTCATGACGAAACTAATAAATAAAAGAGGAATGAATAACAAAGAATAAAGATGCTTGCGATCTAACAATTAAACGTATTTATAAGATTAGAAAAGTACAATCTGGCCTCCCTAAAGTATCATCTTAATTCAATTGGTGAAACATTTTTTTTGTCCACCTGGTTGTCAGTGTAGTGGGCCTAAATCATACAGTATTGGATCCCACTTGTCCCTACCAGTGGATGAAGCAAGTCTCATTCTACAGTATATGTATAATGCTTTAGCATCACAAGAGTTGAAAATATTTACATATGTGCTATTAATAAATCCATCTTTTAATTTATTTTAAATGCTTCAATTTTGCAGTGCTTCAAATGGACTCTCATGTTAGAGAATAATTTACATTTACCAAAAATATGCTATACATACAGTGCATCCTTCTTCTGTTTTTGGAAAACAGAGTATTTAGAACAAAGGGAATGTGATGGAGAAAAGGCTTTTTTTCCATTCAGGAAATGATGTCAGAAATGAACAAGTTACAGAAGCAGGGATAAGATTGAACCTGGCTGCTGTCCCAATATTTCTCTGTGAACTGTGTAAGTGGTATAGACGCCTAGTAGTATAGATAGGGTTAATCCAGGGGACTATTTCACACACAGTAGTAAAATAAAGACAAGTGGGCACAAAGAGTGGCGGGTGACTGGAACTGGATTCCCCATCAAGTTCTTGAGTCCCAAACATGTGGACACATGTTAGAAACAGCTAGCTGAAATGTTACTTTCACTTACTGTAGCTACAGAACTAGATGGCTTCATCTCCTAAGCATAATTTCTTATGCTCTTCTGAGTGAAACAATCAATTGTGGGCGTTTAAATCTTCAGCAGACAATGAAATTTACAATTCAAAAATAAAGAGTGTCAACGAGTGCATGATGATTCACTGAATGAATCAAAGCTAATAATACACCCTGTTTTCGAGGTTCATGCGCCCTCTTGTGTAATGCCTTAGTCGTTGCAGCCCTCGTGACGATGAATGGTTGTATTACACCCCAGGAGCTTCTCAATAATGAAGATTTTAATTTTATTCCATTCTATTTCAAATGGACGATGAAAATAAACTGATACATCTTAATATACCTAAAATAATAGATATTCTGAAAATTCAAGAGATCTGTTGATGTCCCACTGGTAGAATCTTCCTCAATGAAAACCAATGTGAGAAATATTAACGAACAGTAGAAGAAAATCCCTGCACGTTTGAAACACAATTTTGTAAACAATAATCTACAAAAACAATAGATGGACCACACTCCTTAACCGCTTGCTTAGAAACACTCAAAATGTGTGAAGT